TATCTATCTATCTATCTATCTATCTATCTATCTATCTATCTATCTATCTATCTATCTATCTATCTATCTATCTATCTATCTATCTATCTGCATATAGAGATATAATTTATTTATTTATAAAGCTATAACACATAACGCATAACACAAAAGCTACGTAGACTCTCACTGTTTCCATGGAAATTAAGAGGCCAAAAAGCATCCAGGTGACACCAGATGCACTTGATTAACTGATCCTCGGCATGTGTGAGTATTCCTGTGAAAAAAAGAAGTGTTCAGGTGTTTTCAACACAACACCAATGAGGAAAGATAACACCAATATTCTTAAAGAAACAATTGTTGATGCATTTCCGTTTGGACAGGGTCATGAGGCCATTTGGAAACATCTGAAGTCCATCATTGTACAGTGAGAAACAAGAGGAAAAAACTGAACAGTTTCAAGTCAGCACAGCTTCGTTTTGTTGTATTTGAACAAACCACAAGACTTCTGGCACAGCATCCTTTGAACAGACAAAGCCAAAGTGGAGATGTTTGGCCATAATGCATTGTGCCATAATTGGCAAAAAGCTGAATATTAACAACATATTGTACCAATTGTCAAGCACAGCAGTGGAGGGGTGATGATTTGGGCTGTTTTTGTACTCAGAAAACATGAACTCCTATGTTTACCAAAATATTCTAGAGTTAAATGTGAAGCTAACTGTCTGGTAGCTAAAGTTTGGCCTCATATGGGTCATGTAAGAGGACAATGATCCCAAGCTGAAAAGGAAATCTGCTGAAAAAGAAAAAAAGAGTCAAGGTGCAATGGTCCAGTCAAAGTCCAGATCTCAACCCGACTGAAATGCTGTGGCAGAATCTCAATAGAGCTGTGCATAAACAAATGCCTGAAAACATCAATGAAATGAAGCAATGTTTCAAAGAAGAATGGGCCAAAATTCTTCCCCACACAGCTTCTGCATTTTGGCCTAAAGAATGACATGATGTAATGTGTTAAATTTATTTGTTGTTTTTCATTTTGAGGTTCTATTTAATTGTAATAATAATTGTAGAAACTGTTAAATGATAAATAATAGTTAATCTATATGATGCACATTATCTTTAAAAACACTGATAAGTTTGTGGATTTTGATTTAGACCAGTCCAAAGTTTCTCCAGGTAATAAAGCAGCAAACATGGCAATGTTAAATAGAGGTACAGATGAAATTCCCAATTTAGAATTGTTGTGCTTTTGAAATCAAATGCATAATTTATTTAGGAAGTGCTCAGTGTTTACCCTTGACTGAATGAGGGTACATTTAAAGCTTTTAAGGACATTCAGGGATTCACCATATTACCGCAAAAGTACCTCCTTATTACACAGGATATATTCATCATATCGCATCATAGCACAATCTCTTTTACTTTACTGCTTTAACACAAATCAAACATTTATCCAAAGTTATTCGAAATATTACAGAATTAAATCTGATAAACAGATGCCTCCGTAGATTCTGTTCTCTTTTAGAAACCAATGGAGTTCTAGTGTGAAAAAGGTATTGAGCCATAGATGAGGTACTGTCATTTTTCCCTATTAGGGAGAGAAAACAAGAGGCTGTCAAATATGTTAGCTTGCCAGAAAGCTACTTACTTACTTAGTGCTTGTTATTTTAAATGATGTCACTTGAATCCTTGTTTTTTCCTCAAAATGAAGCTGATCAAGAAAGCTCCACAGAGGCTGCTGATTGGAATGCCTGTGAAAAGCTGATGAAGGAAATGCTTTAAGAAGAGGATTATCCCAAATGAAATCCTAGCCTGTTCATTCATTACAGGGTGCCATATAAAGCCCATCAACAATTCTACAATCAAACGTGCCTGTATGAGTAACATGTTTAAGACTGCATATCAGACCTTCGTGGAATATAGGCAGACAGCAGTCAGTATCGCACTGGCTTGTGTCATGTGTCATGGTTGTCTAAATGTAAACATGAAAGTGTATATTTATCCTCTGTAAACAATGAAACTGCAGCCTCAGAGCACAGGACGAATCACAGTGCAGACACCAAGGCTTACAGCTGCTAGTGTAGGTGATGCTTTATGGGCTTCCTTCCTTCTTGTTTGTGCATCATTCTGACTCTGAGGGGAAACACTGAGTATATTTGAACAACATTATTTATAGGGCACTGCTTAATCGTATGCATCTTTAAATGCACCAAGGCTTCACAATGTGTCAGCCTGCTGAGAAGGGCATGTAAAGAGGAGAAGCCACCAAACAGAGCAGTATCATTGCATAAGATAATTTACTGCGGTACTGCCACTAATCCCACAGGCGAGGGTCAAAGAAAAGGCACTTCCCGTTACGCAATATGAAATGTTACACAAAAGTACACAAAGCTAATATATAATATCCCTGCACACTAAATGTATCATATCACTCATTAGTAATCAGTGTAAGGTAACACTGATGTAGATAAATCCATTTCTTAAACCAGCTTTAGTGGTCTAGAATGAAGAATGATAAGACTTCATCTACTAAATTTGAAAGGTTTCACTCATTTTATGCAGCTATAGTTTTATAATTAGCTTACTGCCACACATATATATTATGTGTGGAGCATAATGGCTCATTAAGTAATATAGTGCTAATACTAATACTGTGTTGCAACAGACTGGCGATCTGTCCAGGGTGCACCCTGACTCTAGTCCTGTGGTAGCTTGGATATGTTCCTGCCCCCCATGACCCTGATAAGGATAAGTGGAAGAGAATGGATGGATGGATAGAAGTAATACAGCCATCTTGCCTCTCCTCTTGCTCATGAGGAGAGTCCATATGAGTGCACAGTTTTAAAATGGTTACAAGCTTTAAAGTAAAAAACAAAAATCACTTACATCCTGCAGTACTCACTGGCAAAACAATAGCAATCTTGCACAGGCAATAATTTCTTGTTGATGCCAGAGGTCAGAGGAGAACCACTCAAATAACTGCTTTTTACAGCCAGGGCATACAAAAGAGCATCTCTGACTAACTGAACAGAAGACCACAGTAGGTGCCAGTTCTGTCAGCTAAGAAAAGGAAACCAAGGCTCACAAAATTGGAAGAATAAAAAAATTGTTGTTTGGTCCTGATGAGTCTCAGTATCAGCTTTGACATTCAAGTGGTTGGATCTAAATTTGGTGTAAAATGACTTAAAAGAATTAAAGCAGTCTTGTGGGTGATATACTGCATAAGTGACTACTGTTGCCTAACACGTCCATCCTTTTAAGTGGACAGCGTACCCAACTTCAGATGCCTAGTTCCAGCAGGAAAACACATGATGGCACAAGGCTAATTTTATCTTAAACTGGTTTCTTGAACATGACAGTGAGTTCAGTGTACTCAAATGGCCTCCACAGTCATCAGATCTCAATCCAATAGAGCAGCTTTGGGATGTGGTTGAACCAGAGATTCATATCATCTATGTGAACCAAACTCTATGAGGAATGTTTCCAGCAACTAGCTGACACTCTACCAAGAAGGAAAAAAAACCGAAATAAATTTTAAAAAACAAAACAAAAAACGGATTTTAAAAAAGCTGATAATGAGGAACATTTTTGAGACGTGATTTCTGACGTCATCAATACGCTTTTATTGTGAAGGATTCTGCCTGCCTGGACCTGCTGCGGCTAGCGGAAGTGGAGCTTCTGCTAAGCACAACACAGCATTAACTGAAAAGAGAGGCTATGCACAACACACAGTGAGTACGGTTTATTCGATTATGTCAGAATTTTAAAAATATAGCTTTGGCGTGTAAGAAATCAGCCTAGACTCGTTTGTATCGCTGTACAGCCTATAGTGTAACGGTGTAGCTAACGGTAGGTACCTTCGGCTGGGTCTCTAACAGCTCCATAGAAGCGGGAAGTTAATTAAACGAGTGTTAAATTATATTTTAGCCTGATTTACTAGAACAGGGAACACTGCCTGCCTTAGTTAATTGGCACTTTGGCAAACGCACAGAATACTGAGCAGGGGAATAGTGGCTTGCTAACAAGACATTCGGTGTTTATGTTGTGTGTAATTGGCCCACTGAGTGTTTGAAACGTCTATTTCATTTACCACAACGAGTTTACTGCATGTTTTTTTGTTTTTCCAACCAAGTAACTCATCTGCCATTGTATGAACTCAGTTTCTTTGGCTAACCGTCCAAATTCTTTCCTTTCCCCGTGTCCTCAGATTTGTAGCTGATTAGGGAGGTCAGTGATACCATGTGGAAGTCACATGAGCGACGAGGATGAGGCAGAAGCAACAAGGGGGCAGCTTGAGGAGTGATCCGCTGCACAGTGACTGCAACAGGGAGGGTGTCTGCTGCTCGTAAAGGCCTTGCACAAGCAGCCCCCTGTGTCCCCTTATCGCTTAACATTTACAATGAACAGTACTACTCAGTCCCCTGCCACCATAGATGGGAATGTGGCTGTCAGCTATGTGCTGGTGCCATTTTTCCTCATAACCTTTGCTGGGATAATTGCCGCTGTGGTAAGTGGTTTGAACACATGGCATAGGATGATCTATGTCAAGTTGAGCCATTGTGTTATGAAGCAGTCCTACATCTTACTAACTTAAAAGTCAAGTGTGAATTGAGATCCAAGCGTACACACAGCGGATGTAACATCTTTCATTTTGTCCATTTCAGATAATGTATATTCGCAGGAAAAGGAGGTAGGATTAAAATTTATCCATCAACATCATTGAACAGTTTTTTTTTTTTGTTCTTGTTTTTTCTTTTTTTACCTTTATACCTTCACTGAATCAATGTTTATTTTCTTGGTCCCTCAGAGTTGACAGACTGCGTCATCAGCTATTACCAGTGTACACGTATGATCCTTCAGAGGAGATTAATGAAGCCGAACAAGAAATGTTGTGGAAAGAAGAGGACACAAGGGTAAGGCACATCAGTTTTTATAGTTTTGGATTCTTTACTTGGAAGTGCAAGTGGTAAAGCTTGTCGTTTTTATGTGACTCTTTCAGTATTGCTCCCATTGGAAGACATGGATTCTTGTGCCAAGCATGTTTAAAAGTTGCACAACCACGTTTTCTAAGAAAGGCAGAGTGAAAACATTCTCTTAATACTGTTTGGTATACTGTCTAATTATATTGGTTGTGAAATTTTCTTTAGCGTGCACCAGTTCCTCTACTGATTGGTCAGTTCCTCTATTGCATTCAGTTATAGATAGAAGTAGAGTAGAAAGGATGATAGTATTAGTAGTAGAACGAGTTTAGCCAGTTGTAATTTTATGGGAATATGGTCGTCAAATGACTCATAGTTATTAATATCTGACCTGAAATCTGCTCCATATAAATGAAACAATCTGCCTTTCTGGTTTAGTAATATCTGAAAAATCATTTTATAGTCTTTTTTTTCCCTTGACAAGTATGCATGTCTTTTCCCAACACAGAATTTTAACATCAGCTTATTTTTCAGAAAACAAAATGACAATCCTTCTCATTTTTCTCAGTCTGCCAGTAAAAAGCACTTTATTTTGAGCCGAGTCGTGCACTGAATCCTGAGGCTCACTAGATGGCGATGTTCACTTTGTCCAAAAAGTTTGTCAAAAAGTTTTACTTCTTATTTGTCAAGTCAAGGTGGGGTTGTATAGATGGGAAAGGGACAAATGTGAGCAGTGCTTGAAAAAGCCCTTAATGGGTCAGTTTGCCCAAATTACCAAAAAAAAAAAAAAGTCACATACTCCTAATGATAAGTAGCCATGGAAAAAGTTCAGGTTTTGTCTGCCTGCGTTTTAGTGATAAATGTGTCCTTGTTGTCTTTAATCCAATACAGCGAGAGCAAATTAAATTTCAGTTAACCCTGAAAGTCCTGTTATGGAAGATATTCCACGGTTGTGCGGTTTCGGAAAGACATCGGGCTTTTACTGCATGAATCGAGCTTGGTTTCCCTCTGCTGTGGAAGTTTGACATGCAGGAATTTTATAATCTCGTTATATGAAACTGAGACTACTGTCAAATCATCATAGCTTGGTATAATTTGGTTTGAGTGCGAAAGTATTGTTTAGTTCGAAGCAGGTTTTCAGGTCCTCTCATGAGAAGAGATTTCACACTTGAGTAAATGTTTTTGCTCTTTCAAATAACTTTATTAAGCTGTATGCTTTTCTCTCTCTCTCTTTTTTTTTTTTCCTTTAGATTGTACAAAGTTGGGCGTCAAGTTATCAACAGCAACACCCTCTTCTGACCAAAGACGTCAATGCATGATGTTGGTAAACCCTGACATTGAGCACTGTGGGGTGTGACGACAAACCTGCAACCACAGAGATCAGTAATTTTTATCGTGATGTACAAACAATCGTGTACAATACTTCTTAGCTTTTATTTGCTTCCTTTTACTGTCGTCTCTGAGCACATCGGTGACGATGAGCATTTTCCTGTGTTCTCTTTTATGTACACTTTGACGTTGAACTTCTGATGCCGATCCTGTGTGCCTAACAGTCTCAGTACCTTAAGATTATTTATTTGAAATTATTTATTTAAACCTGTTTTTATTGAAAAATTCAGTGACATGACTCAAAGTTTCAAAGGTACAGCTACCTGTAGATTTTTAATCTGTTGTTTACATTTGCTATGTTGTTGTGGGCGACGTGTGGCAAGCTGTTATGTTCCTGTGGGTTGCAGTGAGCATTCGTACTAGCTGTGCTCTTCGTGGCATGAATGTGCTGTACCCTTTAAAAATCAGCAGTCCTGCTGCGAGAGGAATTGTGATCATTGCCTGCGCTGGTGATTTTAAACGAGTTGTGTGCAATGCATTAGAAAAACAAATCATCCTCTGATAAAATGACTAGTGTAGCGTTCAACAGTTACATTGTTGCAAAACTCTCAGAAAACCTCATATTGCTGAAAAATAAAATTAGCAGCTAAGATCAAGCTGCTAAATTTGATTTCAGTTTCATTTTCAGTGAAATGATTGAACAGCTCGCTTTAGTTTTACTTTGCTTAAAGAATCTAAGTCATGCCTGGAGCTTCACGTCTTTTTGTGGTTTAGCCAAATCCTGTGACTCTTATCAATGGCATGAAAAGCCAGATAGTGGAAGTAAATAACACCAAACTCTCATCCCTAAAATGAGCTCTGACTAGCTCTCAAAATATGTCCTGTCTACAAGGCATGGCACCAACAAATTTGCCTCCAGCTGAAGAATCTGTTCAGATGAATGCCATAAGTCTGACTGTTTTAAGCACTCAGGAAGTCTTGCTCTTTTTTTCTTTACGAGTCATAACCTCCCCCGTTCCTTTTTTGCCTTGCATTTGTGAATGTAAACTAAGAACAATTGAACTGTTTAACTGCCCTCAGATGGGGGAAGCATTACTCAGTCCAACAGCTAATGTATTGTACTGAGCATGTAATGCTCAAACATGTCATGTTATCAGTTATGACATCTAAAAGTGTGGGCGGCATGGTGGTGCATAACAAGCAAGAAAGTTCTGGGTTTAAACCTTTCTGTGTGGCATTTGTTTTCCCACTGTGCTTTATCCACAGTGTCAGAAGAAAATCCACACTCCAGGGCTGGCTCTGGGTGTGACTGCTGCTGGTTGTCTCAGCGCTAGTCCTTGCTTCCACCTGTCCAGGGAGTGCCCTACCTGTGGGTTGGGCTCCAGCCCCACCCTGACCCTCTACAGCTGTGGTTCTCAAAGTTTGGCTTACCATTTGGTGGTCTGTCATAGCGGTGCACAAAAAGATGTGGGAGCATTTCTATTAAATTACAACACATTTAGCTGTAGTTGTCATAGATGAATGAATCTTATTAACACTGACAAATAGACACCTCAGTAATTGTTAAAGCCCAGAAAAACACACACACACACACAATAAAGCAAATGCCAACATGAACCACTATTTGCTGAACAGGCACTTTAAAGTGTGGATTTTTCCTGGGTAGTCCACTCCCTAAACTTTGAGAACCCAGCTCTGCAAACTTGGGATGGCCAACTAGTAGTTATTATACCCAGAGGTGCTTAAGTATCAGCCTAATTGTGTTTCTATTCTATGCATTGTCTAGTTTTTCATCTTTTGTGAAGAATTTTATGAAATGAGCCATTCATCTTTAAAATTGTATCCACTGTTGACTTAGGAGATTTGCACAGGTGACACACCAGAGGGGTTCAACTATGAAGTTCAACATTGCAAGGCTTTCTTGACAAAACCTAAAACCCCTGTCAGATAAAATGGGTAATGGTGTTTTTCAACTGTTCAGGCAGGTTTTCTGCTTCAGCTTCTGCGAGTGCTCACATAAGAGGCGTTTCATCATGTGATTGATCCCTATGAGCCCAGCAGCTCTAGACGTTATCAAGCAGTGGTGCACTCTCAGTGCGATTGCTTATTCCTAACATGTAGTACACCCCTCTGGTAAACTTTGCATGAAAGGCTGTGCATTCAGGTGATGTTTGAGGAGATGGACTGATGCAAATGTAATTTTGGGAACATTGTTACAATCTTTCTCTTTTCAGACTGTACATCCATTGGTTCAAGAGACTTGGTAAGGTAGTTGAAACGCTGGAAATATAATTTACTTTTGTAGATAGTTGCAATGCATCATTGTAGCCTGCATGAGCTGCACAGCAGAGTGCAACAATATGAACAAGTGACAAAGAAAATTCTCTTTATTGACCATTTTCTGATACAAATTGTTGTAGGGCACCATAGAAATATAGACATTGTACATTTATATACGTGTACATTAAAAAGAATGATCCATCCTATTGAGTTTACAGTATATAAATCAACGGATGACTGACGTTACTATGTAAAATGACATGATGTCGAGACTAGGAAGTTGATAGAGGACATGAAATGACCGTTGTACGAGTACGGTGAGGATGGCTACGTGTGGCAGTGGTAGACACACGGTGGCCAACGGAACATGGAAAAAGCGCCCAGTCCATCACAAACATTTGTCCATGAAAATCTGAACTAACATTTCAGTGCACCAGAAGTTTTTTTCTTAAAAGGATAAAAACACACTTGCTAATCTACCACAGTCAGCGAACACAGTCGTCAAGCTGACAGGTCTCCCTGACTTGCTTCACACATTTACAAAAAAAACAAAACAAACCAAAAACCTGTCTGCCAGCTCCGGTTATGAATGAGCCAAGAAGTGTTTGTGTCGTCACACAATCACATACTCGACCCCTTGGATCTCTCATTACAGTCAGGAGAGGGAAAAAAAATAAAATATACAAACATTGTCAACTCATGCCAGAGGTTACATTAAAAAAAACCCCCAAAAAAACCCAGTTGCAATAAATGGTAAAATAAGCAGTTTGAGTGAGGTATGAAATTCCAGGCATTGTCTTGCCTGTTTGCAGTTTTCCGGGTTTCGTAACTGAGGTTGTAGCAGCTTAGGTGTGTGGAAAAACCCAGTTAAGTGGACTGTGACTGTGGGTTCCCTGACACTTAGAAATACACAAAAGTTTTCTTTAACCATAGCAGACGGCATACAACACACATCTTCAAAGGACTAAGGAAAAAGTTTCTTTTTATTATTACCATACTAAGTGATGAGAGGAGGACCAAGCTAGGCGAAGCAGTGAGATCTAGATGGAATGAGGGAAAAAAATAATAATACAGCCCTGTTGGATAGTAGTGCCACCAACTATCCTGTGTTACAATCAAAACTCCTTGTCCGATCAATTGCAGTTTGCCTTATAAGTGATTGAGAGTGAGGGCTTGGAAAACTGAGGACCATGTGAGGACAAAGACGCCAATGTAACAGCATTTGTAAAAGCTCCCTGAAGAAACGACACTGATGACTTTAAGCCTAGAACTCTGCCAACCTTAAAAAACACATACGAAAGAGTTTTATTATAACATGAAAAGCAGCACACGTGTTTTAAAATGTATGTAACCCAAAGGAACAAAAACAAAACAGTAAGTCAGATCGAGTCTAATGATACACTTTTACATCTCTCCACTATACGCAGAGAACTGAGAAGGAAGTCTGAGAAGCATCACTAAAATCTAAACTGTCCTACAGGAAGAGGGCTAAAGATGGTTCTCCTCTAATCGGGTGGGTGAAGTCAGTTATGCAGATTAGGAAAAGGTACTTCTACCATCAGTTACCTATTCTCATCCTAAATGCTGAAGCTCAACTCCATCTAGAATACAATGCAAAGGATAGGTTAACCACTTCACACAAACACTCAAAACCAAAAAAGAAAAACTTTTGAAAAAAAAAAAAAAAAAAAAAAGAAAAGCAAAAAAAAAAGCAAGTATAGGTAAAATTCACCTTTGTCCAGTACAAAACACGGAGAAAAATCTATATGCCCTACCATCTCAGATGCGGGTACAACAAATAAGTAACATTAAGCAGAGAAAACATCCTACAAACCACCTTTAGGGGAGAGGAAAAAATAAAAATAAAAAAAAGAGAAAAATAAAAAGGAGGAAATGTCCAGGCTCCTTGGAGAACACCTTTTTGTCCAGTATAAAAGACTTGTAATAACATGACATGTAGAGAAACGGGCTGTTACCTTTCATGTAATTCTTAGATCTATGCTTGAGCAAGTCCATCGTTCTATCCAGTGCTGTTGCATGATATATGTACTGTGTTAACCCTCCTTTGGCAAAAGGGGGCTTTGTCGTGAACAGTGGTCATGTGGTGGCACTGGCATTGGAGATACAGCCCAGTTCTGGTTAACAGTAAGTCAGTATGTTGAGTGAGGTAGCATGCGTTGTGAATTACTGGTCCTCCTCCTCTTCCTCCTCAGATGATTCCTGGGATGCTTTTTCTTCCTTTTCCTGCAGGGGAGAAAAAAAAAAAAAAAAAAAAGGAAGGGGGGCTGTTAAGTTATGCCTTGACCACACCCACAAGGAAAATGCCCAAAGCACCATCAGTGTTCAACGACAATAGCTGCCTGTGATTCATGCCTCAACGCGACTGTTTTTACTTTAATAACCCCCAAGCACCAACAAGAAAGAGACTAAATGTTATTATAAAATCTCTGATAAACCACTGTGGCATGAAGAACACCCAAGGGAAGAGTGAGCCATCTGTAGTGAAAAATGATTCATACACACAGCAGTGAGTCACAATGAGGCATCCTGCTTTTTGCCCTCTTGCCTTTCCTGCTCACACTTACTGCTGCCCAAGATGTCCATTCATAAAAATGAGGAGCCTAGTTAGGAGGGTAACTGTGGGTCATTCCTTTCTGTGACTAATGCAATCCAGACGAGTACGCCCTAACCACTCATGCACATGACACAATGTTACTACAAGACCGCAGTTTCTCCTAGATTAAAACATGCTGCTTTGACCGGCTGTATGTAGTTGGGCGACTCATTTTGAAGCTCCTAAAAGTAAATATCCTGCTGTCAACATCTGGTTAAAAAACAAAACAAAACAGAAAACCTTTAAAGACATTTGCCATTTTAAAACTACTCAATAAAGAGTGGTTGACCATGCAACTCTGAATGAACACAAGACCCCAAAATAGCCAATGAGTAAAAAAAAAAAGACAAAAAAAAAAAGACCAAGGAACAAGGCAGGCAAGGGAATTAGGAAAATGCAATTTCACCCTGCAGGCACTCATACCGAGCATAATTCAATTGGGAGAGGAACAGCTTAACTGATGTGAACACTTGTTTGTCCATGGGATCTTACCTCCTTCTTAGGTCTTCCCCTGCGTTTTCCCCCTGCAGATGGGGCTGCCGTTGCCTTCTGTGAGAGAAAACGGAAAAAGGTCAAGAGAGCTCCAAGTGGGCTCTAACATTTTGTTGTGATCCTCAAGGTCACTGACCTGCTGATCTGCTAAAACTTCTGAGTTTTGTTTTGTTTTTGTTTTTTTTTGGGGGGGGGGGCACAAAAAGCAATGGTGTAAACAATATTTCCTAGAGCTCTGCAGCTAGCTGCCTGTAGATGGCGGTAAGGCCTCTAAAATGAGACAGATGGAAAGGGGGCATTGGGTTCATTGGCTATTATCTGGAAGGCCGACAGGAACTGCACACAGGGCACTCCAGTTCGCTGGCCACCTGGTCTGAGGCTCAGAGACAGCTGGTGAAACTGAGCGGAGACACAAACCCTCTGCAGCTCGGCCCTCGCTGCTAAACCTATATCAAAACATGTATGCGCGACTTCCTCTCCCTCCGCCTTTCCCATACATAGCAGTGAAGACCGAGCGCAGGGAGAACCGGAGGGTTGGGGCGGGGGAGAAAAATCAGTTGTTGCTATGGTAACGACAGGCAGAGAAGAACTAGGGCTGTGTGCTGGGTGGGGGCGGAGGGGTGCTTAGTGTCAGCTTGGAAACAGTCTTGCGGCCTCTGCACCTGCACCACACTTTGCATGACAAGCTGCAGGAAGCTGGAGGACAGGAAGTAGAGGGTGAGCATCACCAACAAGAAAAAAAGAAAAAGAAAGTGTGAGGCAGTAAACCAAGGTCTTTACAATGGGGAACCCTAGCCAAGCTATTTCTGACACCACGAGGGGGAAGCAGCCAGATTACAGCCAACAAATATATCTCAAGTAACAGCAGGACATCCTTTTACAAGGAGGTGGTTAGCTACCGTTAAAATGTTCATCAACCAAAAGGAATCCGGGGTTTGGAGAAAAAGACAAAGCACTTGCAAGAAACAAATTTACAACAAATGCCACACTAACGCCGACTGCCCATCTTGGAATTGCAGCTATTCCGGATCAGGATGTGCGCTCGTTGCTGCTGAACTCACTATCTGTCACTATGTGAAAACACGTCTGCAGACTGCATTGACTTACTTTGCCCTTGCCGGTTGTCTTGTTTTTGCTGCCCTTCGGCCGTCCTCTGGGCCTCTTTGGAGTAGGGGACCCACTTGGTTCCTGGCAATCACAATCAAGACAAAGTTAGGGTAGTATAAAACATCTGGACAATATTTTAGGAACATAAGCTCTTAAAAATCTGGCTTATATTGCAAGATCAAGGTTTTCAAATCAAAATATAGACCTACAAAAAAACAAAACAAAGCTCTCTGAGGTAAAGACAGTGCAACTTATGTGCATTAAATGCTAAAAAGGTTGCCATGGTCCAGCAGATACAAGTTCACAAATAACAGATGTGTCATTAAGGGAAATATGCAACAGTAAGCACTTAGGGGATTACCGTCACATGCAAAAAAGCAAGGTACATTCAGCTCGAGGTGAGTTATCTTATTCATGTGTGGTTGTAAGCTTCGTCATGGCTGACGCGCCTCCTGTTGCATTTCTGCTGTGTTTACAACCGCAGCTCATAGCAACAGAGCAATTCAATAGTAAAAACACAGCAGGCTGAGTGACAGGTATATGAGCCACTGTGCGCTTCGACTCTGCTATGTCATCCATTACATGGGGAGCAGAGGTGGGTCGTAGGGGGTTAAATCTGGTTTAAAGGCTTTAGGTTACAGGTTGCTTACAAACCAGTGAGACATGTGGCAAGTTTGTTGTTCTTCCCTTACACTGATAAGGAAGGGGCAAATGGTCACAAGGGCATGCTGCAGCCATTTCAGGAGTCTTAATTTCATTGAAGGATATGCATGAGAAGCTCAGCTGCAATAATATCTACCTGAGCATCAGCTGCAGCAGACCTGAGTTAAAGGGTTTAAAAAAATCTGCTCCCATCTTTTTAATAATATTAAATACATCCTTATTGTAATTTCTGGGATACAATAATAATAATAAAAAAAATACAACAGCACACTTTCTCCAATAAATAGAAGAACAGAATGGGACTACTTACGTCAGAGGTTTTTACCTGCGGCTGCTTACGGGGTCTTCCACGCCCTCTCTTCTCTGTGGCTTCCTTCTCTTTCGGTGAGACTGTCCCCTTGTCGCTCATGTTTGCGTAGCTTTTCAGACCTAAAGACATAAATCACACCGGTCACTCTTGCAGCAAGGGGAGGCGTCGAGTTCACACACAGAAAAATACACGGGCTATTAAACTCAGTGACCGCAACAGCAAACAAAAAAAAGAAAAAAAAAGGGGGCGGCCTACCCACACACCGGTAACGCGTTTAACTCAATTAATCCGCGCTTATTTCCAGGTCTATTTCTGTCACAACCGTGCTCCATTACACAGCCGACGGTGCCACACAAACACTGGATTGGGATCAAACTGGCTTGCAGGGTACAGCCGGGACTCAGTAAGCGATCGGAGGCCGAGCAAACCTGCAAAATGCTACTGAACCCGGCGCTCCCCTGCCTCCACGACCATGTTTAGAGGCCCGTTTGCTGTAGTTGTTGTAGCCAACAATCGGGCCTGCGCATGACACTCGCAGCATGTCTGCACGCCGGGGCGACGAAGAGATATCCCCCCCCCTCCTCCTCCTCCGCCGCCGACACACATGCACATACACACAATGGCTAGTGTGTGCTCGTCTGGATTTGCAGGGTAAAGCCCTAGCCTGCATGGCGGCACCCATTTTTCTGAGTGCTATAGAAAATGCAAGCAGAGCTCATTTGCGGGAACCAGAGCCCGGGCCGGAGCAACAAAAGACGGCTTCACATCTAAAGCATGCAGCGTCCTCTCGCCAGAGATGCCTCTCTGTAAAAATGCATTTAGGCGGTTGTAGCTTGCAAACTTTAGCTTGCCTTTCGACGTCCTTTTCTTGTGCACTCACCTTTATCGCTCGGTAGCAACCTCTGCTCTATTTAAGACGAAATGTTTCCTTTAAGCCTAGCTGGTTGTACCCGGTTAAAAAGCCTCGCTCTGATCTATAGGCTACAGCTTTTACTCGTCAGACAACACACAGCCCGCCCCTTTAAAATCCCAGCTCATGCCGCTTTAAAAACAGTTATGAATTAAAATGAGAGCGGGTCAATATATATACTTTTTTTTTTTTAATTTTTTTTTTTTAAATAATAAAATAATAAAAATTACCAGCAGGATGAGAAGTTTACTCCAACGACGTCCTATAAATAGCGCACGTGCTCGTCTTGTCTCCTACAGATAAAGGAAAAAGGCGCCAGCCAGGAGGAGTTTTGGGGCAATTTAAAGAGCCGCCCTCATGGGAGCTGGAACATTGGAGGGCGGAGATATAAGTGGGCCACCAACAGTACTACTAGCAGCCCAACCCCCCACCCACTTACGGATCCCTTTAATTCTCCAGGTTCAATCACAAAATATAAAAAAATATTTTTAAGTGGCGGGATATACTTTTAGGAACCAAGGAAAGAATGACTACTAACTGTATTTATATTGTCTCATACTACATTAACTTAACCAACACATACCACTGTCTCCACAATAAAATTGTGAATGAACTATGACCTTCTCCAATGTAAACACAAGCTGCCTTTGAGCTCGGGAATGATTTACATCCTTTACTCAGGTAAAACACGACTCCAGTAATGCATTAAAATGAAAAGTTAAATATTTACTAAATGAATAACACAGTAATGCGTTTGTTTAACAACAAAATGAATATCATCATAATATAGTGGAAAAAATGTACAAAATTGTCTCTGTATTGCAGAATATAATATAAAATAATTCAGTTCTGGTTTTAGATCTTAGGTACAGTACTACGCTGATCTTCTATGTGTTTTAAGGTTTGTAATATCAATGTGATGCATGTAAATAGTTCACCTGCATAAACCTCTGTGCAAATAACATTGTAAAACATGGATGTGATGCTGTGATCCCGGTACAGTTTCTTATGTTTCAGAAATGCCTCTATCTGTTGAGACAACATTTTATGTTAAAATAAAGAGATTAATAAATTAAAATTTAAATATTCTCTTTGTTGTATCATATTTAAATTTATTAATCTCTTTATCTTTTTATATTTTCTTTTTAACTGAGTCCATTCTTTAGTCTTTCCAAGCTATTTCCCCTTGTTATCTGTTTTTACTTTGTTGAGCTGAGTTTTTTATTAGCTAATTTCCATATTTTTAAATTTAAATAAAAGTAGGTCTTTGTCTTAATTTTTTCCTTCATCTTAAATATTTAATGGTTAATAATGTAGTATAGGGTTGTGTTATGTGCCATTTACCATGACAAAAAACACCCCACTAAAAAACGACTTTTAATTTTATTAAGCATTTGGGGTTTATTTGTATTTTATTTTTTCAAAATTTTTTTCCAACATTTGGATATTATTTTTAATATTTCACTGATGGCTTTATCTTAATGATAAAAAATAATATTAGCCACATTTTAAAACCCCCCCACAAAATATTGCTTTTATGTTATTCACTCATTTTTCCAATGATATCACTGTAGCGTTGCGTTGTACCTGTTGAGAACAGGCAGTAGCTGTCGCTGTATTTCAGCAAACGTTAATCTGAGTTCAAGGCCACTCAGTTATCCCATCCTGACAATATGCCACCCATAGAGGAGTTCCATGAGTAAGCGCATGCAAGAGCCATAAAACTCCCTTACTGCTACTGCTCTTTTATTCTTATAGTTAAATATGTCGACCTTTCATGTTGCTCCCGTGAAATGGACAAACGTCTGATGTTGATTGCATGGGTGTGGAGAATGCGGATAAAACAACCTAGGCTTCCAGTAGGTAGTAGGCAACAGTAGCCCACTTTCGCACAGGGGGTTCTCCTGTAAATGAGCTACCCATGTGGAGTTGATGGGTCTGCTACTATCCAATTGAAAACAGATTTCTGAGAATGCAGTGGGACCTTAAAGTGCTGGTAAGGGGACCTTTCGCCGCCTTCTGTGTGTATTCTACCTCTCTGTTTGTTAGGTCATGGCAGATCTCAAGTAACTTACAGCAAACGCACATATCAAATGACTCAGACTCCAAAGGCTTTGTTATCAGCGGAGAGCACATGCATGTCAATATACTGTACATATATGACAAGGAGAGTGGGAGTTTGGTGAATAGGGCACTGGATAGAGCATGAATGGAGAGCGCTTTTCTCAATGAGTCCAATGTTCTGCTCAGCATGTGCTTGCCTTGCATGCCACCCCCTTCCCTCTCAATTTCTCAGTCTATTCACTTCCTTCGTATCTACTTCAGGCCCATCCCCCACAAATCTCTGGCATACCCACCCTTCAGTATGTGGATGGAGACAGGGAAATAGGTTCTCTCTCTCTCTCCCTCCCTCTCTCTCTGCGTGTGTGTGTGTGTGTGTGTGTGTGTGTGTGTGTGTGTGTGTGTG